GCAAAAGAAAAAAAAAAAGACTGCAAGAAAGAGATTTGCCCTCGGCTATCTTGTTTCATGAGTTCATGGAAACTCCCGTTAAACGGCCCCTCACAGAAAAGACATGCCTAGGAAAATGACAGCACTCAGTCAAAGCGACATTTTTAAAAGTAACTCTCCCCCCAGTTTTAAAATAACTGACCTTTGGAGCCATGAGAAATATAAAAGAGAGGCGTCTGATTTAAGTAGTGTTACAATGCACTTTTGAAGGTTCAAACATCTGAACTTCATGCATTGGACAGATGCCTGCTGAATGACTGTTAGACGAACACTGTCTCTGCCCACTCTTCGAGTCTACCAGTAAGGTATGGAATGGTTTCTGTGAGGCCTTCATCCGTACTGTCATATTTAACAACCCAGCAAGGTAGTTGAGGCAAAGAGTCTGACCGTCCTTGCTTTTCCTTGAGAAAACAGGCTCAGAGAGGTTCACCGACGATCTCCAAGATGCTTGGCTGGTGCTGGGCAGATCTGGGATTAAAACCTTAGACTTCTATCTGTTAACTATGGACTCTGTCGGACAGGCTGGGGTTGGAACTCCTGCTCGACTACTAACTACATGTTCTAACTTGGCTGGGTTATTTAGCCTTTCCAAATCTGGATTCTCAACAGTACAATGGGAAAAATATAAAGTACCTACTCCATAGGGTTGTTATAAGGATTACGTAACAATGTAGAAAAATTGTTTGTTACAAAGTCCCTCATTTGTTAATAACATAATTATTCTCTTTTAGAAATAATCAACAAGTTATTTAAAGAATCAAATGCAATCTTGCAAAATTGGAAGTAACAATGGTAATTAATGCCTCTGGTAAAAATGCCTGTTCTTCTTTTGAGGCCAGCACCTTATCCCGATAGCCTGCTCTGGACAGTGATGACGGACTGAATTCAGTTTCGCCCCTTCCGTTGCTTCTCTGCTCCAGATCATGGCTGTATTCATGCAGCGACAATTCCACTCCTTTTACAGTGCGGCTGTTAAAAGGTACGTGGGAAGCAGCTCATTCATCATTTTCCTAAGAGCTTACCCTTCTCTTCCCCAGCCAGCTGGATACTGGCTGTTCTTGACTCTCTCTGGTTTAGGCCCACTGAGGGACAGGGGACTGGGCTCGGGTGTTTTCTAGGGTGAGAACTGGGTGAGCTTGACGTTTGAAGGACGAAGGGACCAAGAGGGTCTGGGATGCAGAGCTCTGCAGAGGGGACCGAGAATCTGCAGACAAATACTAAGTAGGACAGGGTCTTACCTTTATGTCCCCAAGGCCTGGTGCATCTCCACTTGGTTTCATGTTTGCTGAGAGTAATGGCAGCTAATGAGTGAAACGCAGTGTGTGCGAATAGCAGCTGACGTGTGAAGCAGTGAAATATGTTCATTTTACGTGAACGTGAAATATGTTCATTTTACGGATTATCTCAAGGACTGCTTACAGAAAGCCAGGAAGTAGCTGATGTTCTTCCCATTTTACAGGTAGGGAAACTGAGGCACGGAGAGGCAAAGTTACTTGCCCACGGTCAAACAGCTAGAAAGTGGCACTGGCAGATTGAAACTCAGACATCTCATCTCAGAGACCTGCCCCTGGTCTCAAGGCCAATCTGGGCATTTCCTTTTCACGTCTCCTCTCTGGAAGTGAATGGTGGCATCAGTGGGCTCCAGTCCCAGCACCAACCAGTCCATGACTGTCCCGGGGAGAGCGTGAGCAAATCCCTTTACCCCTGCGGGGACTCAGTTTTCTCACCTGCAAAATGGGGGTGTTCATAAAGACCCCTTCCCCCCCCCACACACCTGGTTGCAAGGGGAGGGATGTTGAATAAGGGCGTGTGCCCAGTACACAGCCCGGCCAGGGGCTGCCCACTCTGACTCTCGCTCCAAACCCCCTGGCTTGAAGCAGCTGGAACCCACGTGGCGCCGGGGGGCTGCCCCCTTCGGGCCCTGCCCCACGCACCGGGGCCCCCTGCCCGCCCGGCCGGGCGGTGCGGCGTGCAGGGCGGCCTCCCCCGCGCCCGCGCCCGCGCCCGGAGCCCGCTCGGCACCATATTTAGTCAGCGGGAGCGGGCGGCCCCGGGCTGGTATGCGGCGCCGGGAATTCCTGCAGGAAGGAGCCCGCGCCTGCCCTTTTTGGGTTGTCTCCCGCTCGGCGCCCGCCGCCCCGGGGAGGGAGGACCGGCGGGTCCGGGAACCTCGGGCCGGGCCGCGCGGGGAGAGGGACGCCCGGGCTGCCCGCGGGTCCCCGGCCTGGCGCGCGGCCAGCCCGCCGCCTCCACTGCCTTTTATGGCCTGTGCGCGCGCGCGGACCCCGAGCGCGGGGAGACCGGGGAGCCGGGGAGACAGAGACCAGAAACAGAGTGAGACTCGAGGGGGAGACGGGGAGCGAGAGACACAGAGACCAGAGACAGAGCGAGATTGGAGGGAGAGACGGGGAGCGAGAGACACAGAGACCAGAGACAGA